GGTCGTCGAGTTTGACCCGCCTTGCTTCAGATGCCCCATGGGCAGTGAAAACCCACGTATGTTTGACTTTCAAAATTCCATAGTTCCACGTTGAAGTTCACGTCCATTATTATTTGCGTTATTTTTTCGGAGTCTCCCGTGGGCTGTGCTAGATATTTGGATTGTATGAGAAATGTATCACATTATTGATTTATGTTGGCCAACTGAATCACATTATTAAAGATTCATGAACAATACCGCGAATAAAACTTGCTAATTTTTTTATGTTATATGTACAATTATTATAATTATAAATATTACTTCCTTCATTTCAAAATATTATTTGAAATCTTGTGTAGTGCTTGTTTGGATTTCATCCATAATCAATTATAATGACAAAAATTATAATTTTATAAAAATTTATTAAAAATTTTAATATGTCCATTATATACAAAAATTAATTACGAATCTAAAATTATATTTTTTAAATTATTTAAACATCTCCAATGCATGCAAAAATTAATTATGAATATAAAATTATAATTTTTTTAAAAAAATTCAAACATTTTTAAATGTCAAAATCAATTATAAAACTCAAAGGTGATTTGTAAAATAGTTTATAAATTTTTTTAAATAAATTTTAGAAAAGTATAATTAAAAAATTGATAATAACAGCTTATAGAATAACTGTGATTTGGGTTCATAAATAAGTTTGACACATAGGAGAGATGTGTTTGGAATATTTTAGAAAATCATGACTTTGGGTTAATAATTAAGTTTTTCATGTATAATATGGGTTTTGATATTTTTAAGAAAATCATAATTTTAAGTTTATAATTAATTTGACATTAACAAGGTGCTTGGCTATAATTTCACAAATTATAAATTTTATTTGACTTTCAGGTATGCTTTTCAACTATATTTTTCGATTCTGTTCAAATTAATCTTATTAATTAATTTTATAAATCAATATATACCACATGATATGATTAATTATATTCAAAATCAATTATATTAATTAATTTTTTTTCTAACGGATATCAAAACTAGCTCATATAAATTAGTTATCATAAGTTACAAATAGCTTGTTAAATTAAAGAAGGGTGATTTGCAGCAACAATTTTTTAAAAGGGGTTATAAATTCCAAATTTATTGTTGTTAAACACATCATATTTAAATTTTGTATAACATCTTATGTTAGGCACATAAAATGCAAACAAGTAAAATTGAAAAAAGTAAACCTCATAATATACGTTTTTATGTAAAATAACTTGTAAAGATGATGGGCTGGGAATAGGATTGGAGGAAAGTGCATGTCTTTTAAAGCAACCTGCGTGGCCACATAAAAAGCTTTTTACACCAATTTAAAAAAATCAATATAAAAAATGTGAGCAGTGGAGCATGGCATAATCATGAAATATCGGACTTGTTAATGAACTTGCTACATCAATTCCTTGAACAATTTGTGTAAACAATAACTTTTTACACATCGCAAGTGGAACCGGTATTGAAAGTTTTGCATTTTATTTTTTTTTAAGCTAATTACTTTTTACACAGGTTAAGCAAAGAATTGGGCTAAAAAATCTAGTCTTGTTTAAAAAAATAAAATGGAAAGAAGAATAAATCATTTCTACACATGTTGCCTGAATGCTTGGTGTAGAAAACATGACAATTTTTTTAAAAAATTGACAATAATTTTCTACCTGAGCATTTCACTTATTTGTGATAGAAAGTGTTTATTTTTGTTTTTTTTTTAAAAAAAAAACTCTCAATCGAGTGAGTGAAAACGCACCTTTTTCAATCTAGCACAGAGCGATCGCAGAAGACCCTTCCCATTCTCCTTCCCCTTTCCACTGGCACGTCAGTGTCATCATGGATCTCCTCACTGTTGTGAACCCCTAGTTGCAATCTCCTCCTCCCTTATTTCTTAGCATCCGTGCATTTTTCCATCGCTGCAATCTCCTTTGCTTTGTCTCTTTCAATGTAAACCTAGTACTGCTTGAAATCCCACATCTAACTGTTCAAATCACATTCTTATTTGTGAGGTTTTTTGGGCTCTTGTGGCCATGAGTATATTAATGTGGTTCTTTTGAGTATCTTTGGAGTAGCATAAAGAAGGAGGTGAGTGCACTCTGACTTTCCATTTTGATAAAATGTGCTTCCCCTAATATTTTTGGTCTTTTTTATAATAAGTTTTTGCATTGATCTCTTAGCCTATGTAGCGAGTCCATTTTTACACTGGTAACAAAATAGGTGTAAAGTATTTTTTTTAATCAGTGCAAAATGTATTTTCTGGTATTTGCGGACCACTTGTTCATAAATTTTTAAAAAATACAACCAATAATTAACGGGAGTTAAATTCAGTGAAAGAAGCCACTCCCTCACAACATAACAAATCAATGTTCAAATTTTTATTAGAAAAAAAAACTTATATTTAATACATGACTATGCCACAAATATGATTGTTTTAAACAAGAGAATAATTATAAACAATTTAAAAAATGCAGTCAATAGATAACAATACTGGTCACATTTCACAGTGAATTTACCCTAAAGTTCTATAAATATTATTTGAAGTTGCTGGAGTAAATAAGAGTGTAATTAAAAAAAATCTTAATTAGACACATGAATATGATAATTAACATCGTAACTCACGAAAAACCTGTCCACAGTTCTGTCATAAACATCGGCGTCAACCCCGCAAAGAAAAATCGGCAATGGCCCTGTGGTGGTGGCGTTAAAAAAAAAAAAAAATCATCATCATCAACGCGTTTCGACTTTTAAGTATTGCATTTCTTCCGTCCATATCCAAAGCAAAAGTCAAAGTGACAAACGTAACAGGTCAAACGTCAACCACGCTATTCTAATCCTCCTCAACAATCTTCCGTCGTGTTTGGTCTGTCTTCACCATTTTCCCCTCCCACCTGTTACGTTAAACCATTCTCATTTCATCATGGCTTCCAGGACAGGTTTTTTAATAAAAAATAATAATAATTTTTTTAAATAATATAAATAAAAATTTAATAGCTTAAAATATTATAATTTTATTATATCAATAAATTTTAAATTAAAAATATAACTTTATTTTCATTAATAAATTATAATTTTTTATTTAATTTTTACAATATTTTAAATAAAATTTAATATTTTTTAAATAAATTTTGTGGTTGGGACTTAACTTATTTTTTAATAATAAAATTATATTTAATAAATTATAATTTTTTATTTAACTTTTATATTTACAAAATTAAAATTATTATGTGTTAGATAAAAATTATAATTAAATTTATTATTTTTAATAAAAATAAAATAATTTTTTTATTTTAAAATTTATTAATGCAGAATTTTTTAAAATTTCAGAACAATTATGACATTTTAAAAAATTTGGAGTAATAAAAATAAATAATTTTTTTATTTTAAAATTTATTACTGTAGCATTTTTAAAAATTTCAGAACAATTATGACATTTTAAAAAATTTGGAGGCTTTTGGCGTCCTTGTCCCTAATTTTAATTTAATAACACTAAAAAACTTTTCTGAAAGTCCAATCTATGGTTGAGTTTGCAGCCAAGGAAGGGCACGCGGCAAGTCCTCTCAGAACTATGGGAAGCAGAAAGTCTCGAACCCCCAACCTGGCTTTTCCCTATTCTAACCCCTCACCTCGTCGACATCCCGAGCTCGCTTCTGATTCTAATTCTGCTCCCATGGATCCTCTAATATTACCGAACACAGGTTAACTGCCTCGTGCCCTCATCACTTCTGTTTCTCACTACGGCTTTCTCTTTCTCCGCTGCACTGTAAGTTCAGGTGTTAGGGTGTTGGTCCATCTCTGTTCCATCAATATTTGCTCCTCCCGTCTAATTTTTGGATTCATTTTTCTGTAAGTTCTTCCTTGTCATTATTATGCTATAACTTTGATGTGTTCTTTAAACTCTTTGATCTTGACGTACCTTGATTTTGTGTTAGCTCGTAGTTTCCCACGATCTAATTGTTTGTGCTTTTTGATGTTTTGCGCAAATTCGTTGGCTTTGACAACAAAGGACTTAGGTTGTTTTATACTGTCCTATTTGTAGAGAAATTTTTCCCCCTTTTTAAATGTAAACGACGGATCTTGGTTTGCGTGGGGTTTAAACATTTATGATTTATTTCTTATTAATGATTTTTTATCTCGTCATACATTAATTTCTGTGGTCTCAATTGTAAAGCTAGTTTTTTTTTCTTTGGTTTTGACACACACACCAATTCTGATGAGATGTTCTTCCCATCTGCTCTTTTTGCTTTTATAACTTTGATCTCTTGAAGTATAATTGGCCCGGACTGGGCAATTAACATAGAGTTGTGCGATATCATTAATATGGACCCCAGGTATCTTCCTGCTTTACCTATTACACCGGATAGATGGCTATACTCTATACCTTCATTTTTTTCTGTAACTCCCGTGCTTGGGTCCACATTTATTGACTTGAGATATGTTGTGTGTGAATTTATTTCCTGAATAGTGTATAACGGATGATAGTTGCTTAATTGTGTTTTATATACTAAAAGCGTCGGGGATTGTTTTGGCAAGTTTTTGGTGTCCACAGAGGAAAAAAAAGGTTGAACGTCCTGTTTTAAAGTTTTGAGGAAAACACTTGCATGGCACCTTTTACAAACTGTTACTGTGGGGGAACTTGAAAGTTGGGTATGAATTTTGCTTGGCCTGCTAAAGAGACTTCTGTGGTATTTTCATTAGTCCAAAAATGAATTGTTTATCCCATCAAACTCTAGTGCAAGCAAGTAAGAATCTGTGTCTGTCGTCCACCTCATTTTCTAGTATTCTCTTTTAACTGTTGTTAACGATATTCACTGGGTTGGATAAGCTGTGAATGCGTGGTGTTTCTAACGGTTGGTTTACTCATTTCTTTCCTGTTTCTGTCGTCCACCTCATTTTCTAGTATTCTCTTTAACTTGTTGTTAACGATATTAACTGGGTTGATAAGCTGTGAATGCGTGGTGGTTCTAACGGTTTGTTTACTCAGATACTCAAGAAGCGTTTGAGCAGTAAAAATCCCAAAATACAACTCCTGGCTCTTTTTGTCAGTATTTCTATTCTTCTCTAATCTTTATATGTTTTTTTCTGGTAATTTTCAATTGCAGCATGTGTGCTTAGTATAGAAAGGGTAAAGCTTTGACAGTATTGATTCTTTTTATTGTGCAAATTATGCAAAATTCTGATAATTATTTACTCTACTGTGGTTCTGAGATATTCTTCATGGAGTACTGTTAAAATTTCATTTGTTTATTGTGAATGAGGTAACAAGCAGTGGTTACTTCACCACAGATGTTTTATGTTTGAATATTTGGAGTAGGCATTGGAGACTCTCAGCAAAAATTGCGGTGAAAGTTTATTTCAGCAGATCATTGAGCGAGATATTTTGCATGAAATGGTGAAGATAGTGAAGAAGAAGGTATCTACTGACTTGTAATTACTTTCATTGTTGAATTGTGTCACTCCTGCTCCTGTATATGGAAGACTTACTTATATACTGTTTTGTTCTCTCGATCTGATTGTGCAGCCTGACTTAAATGTCAGGGAAAAGATACTGATTTTGATTGATATGTGGCAAGAAGCTTTTGGCGGTCCAAGTGGAAGATTCCCCCAGTTCTATGCAGCATATAATGAACTAAGGGTGATTGCTCTGTTATATCTATATCTTACTCTTTGTGCATTTATCAATATTTTGCAAGCCACAGTTGTACTTGTAATGGATATACTTTGGCAGATCATTCATTTTCCTACTGGATTATGGTGGATGATAATTCTTTCTACTTTTCTTACTGGAGTTATTTTAACTTGTTCTGCCTATGGGCCTGAATGTTGCTACACATTCCTGTAGTTGTTGCTTGAGTCCCAGTATCAAATTAGTATGGAATTGTGGATTCTATTAAGGTGTGTCAATAGTATAATCAACAAAATCCACGAGTTATCATTTATTTGCTGATGCCAATGCTAGGAGAGGTGTGGATCAGCCAACACCATTATAAGATTAACACGCTCACACTATCAAAAGTCCTCTTATAAAATATTAACAATGATCTCATGAGAGAACATGATGATCAAGCCATATTCTGTTTAAATTATGTAATGTAGCTCAAAGCGATTTCAGATTGATATGAAGTTTTATGAGCAAAATATGCAGAAGGAAACTTGGATGGTAATTTTGTGACAAAATCATTAAAAAGTTACTCGGTGATGTCGGATTAATTTGATTCATTTTAGTGTCAACGGATTCAATTCTCAATAGGACGTATATGTAAATTATATGGACAGATTACTTTTTTGTCTGGCTTCATATAGTTTATAACCTTATCTTAGAAGATATCTATTACAACGGTGGCTGCTATTTGGATAAGAAATAACATTGGTATTTTTTGCCTGTAATATATTATACTTAATACTTGACAGTCTGCTGGAGTTGAATTTCCGCCACGGGAAGAGAATAGGGCACCCCTGTTCACTCCTCCTCAAACCCAGCCGATTGTTTACCCTACTGCAGAATATGATGATGCTGCAATTCAAGCTTCTCTTCAGTCGGATGCTTCTGGCCTTAGGTGCTCTTTAATTGCCTTTTCATTCTTAATATTCTGATTATACTGTTTGTTGAGTGTGGCTAGCTGCAGTTCCTTTTTCTCACATTTCACACGTCTAAGAAAAATAATAGACAAGTTAAGTTAGTGTCACAATCTTATAGTTTCAATTTTTGACAGTATGGCAAATTCTAAATTTTTTGACATGATTTACATGTTCATTTCGATGATTCAAGATTTCCATTATAATATCTTTTGAATGAAGGGAGAAATATGTATTCTATCTAGGCCTCAGATTTCAGTTTATATATTTTGGATCAGTCGCTTGCTTCCTAATGGTTGGTTTTGTTACTTGGATGTACATTTTAATGTTTTTCATCAATGGTAATAATTTTCTTTGATATTGTAGCCCTGGCTTGAAAATTAAATAGAAAGGAAAATATTACATGTGTTAAAAGTTAACTTTTTGTTTTATATTTGAATGATCGTAGTGTCTTTTGACATTCTCTTTTATCATGGGATCCCTCCTTTTAGTGCTTCTGTCTGTAAACTGTAATCTAAGAACTATATTCCAGGATCAAACTTCTTCTATAATCATTGCAGTGCAGAATATAACCACTTGTGGATTCACCTTGTTGAGATGGATGTGATTGTTAACGGATATTTTATCTAGTGGAGCTATTTTTCTTTTTGTTGTTGCTACTTCTAGTATCTTTTGTTCCTTTTGTCTTTGTTTCTTGCTGGTAATAATTTCCTTTTATAAACAAATTATTTTTTTGCTTCTAATATATTTTTCCAACTAAATTTGTTTTATATTATACTTAGCCTGCCAGAGATTCAAAGTGCTCAAGGACTAGCTGATGTATTGATGGAAATGCTCAGCGCTTTGGATCCAAAAAAGCCTGAGGTGATACTGATTTTTTTTCTTGTTATTAGTTTTGCACAATAATTTTGTTTGCTGCAATAACAATTTCATATCGTTCAGTCTAAAACAGTTGGGGAAAGTTGATAATTATTTGGTATGTAATATTCTTGGTAACAAATCTCAGGGTGTGAAGCAAGAAGTAATTGTTGACCTTGTTGATCAGTGCCGCTCTTACCAAAAGCGGGTCATGCTTCTTGTGAATAATACTGCGTAAGAATATAATCTTAATAGATTATTATTTCTATTCTTTATGCGATAATAGAGTGATCAGACTGGGATGGTCGCTTAACTCTCAGGGATGAGCAACTTTTGAGCCAGGGATTGGCACTGAACGACAGCCTGCAACGTGTACTTGGCCGACATGATGATATTCAAAATGGAACTCTTAATTCAGGTGCAACTGCGAGAGGAACAGAAACCTCTGTTCTTCCGCTTGTCAATGTAAACCATGAGGATGATGAGTCGGAAGATGACTTTGATCAGTTAGCTCACAGGTGAGTCCAAAAGTTGTTTATTTTACAAGTTCTTTAGGTGTTTGCTATCTTGTCCACTGGTAAAAACATGACATGAGGAGAAAATTTGAAAAAGCTTGATCATATGATGCTGAGCTGTGAAAAAATTCATTTGTTATTTTGTTTCATTGCAGAAGTCCTTGTTATCATTGATACTCAAAAAATCTGTTTTGTATTTTTTTTGTTTATTCTGTTTCTTCTCACTTTGTTGCCCGGCCTCGTGTATTCACAGTTACACGGGCTCATGATTAGGCTTCCCATAACTGGCTGAGATACATTCATTTGGTGCAACTTTAGTTGACATATCCCTTCCCGTCCAGTTTTATCTTTGTAATTAATGTGTGAACATCGTAATTGCTGAATTGCAGGTCAAGGGATACTCATGCACTGGGTCGTAAGCCAGCCAATGACAAGGCAGAAAGTGTGAGAATAAATCAAATTCTTCCCCCACCACCAGCATCAAGGAAGCCTGTAGTCTCTGATTCTGGCATGGTTGACTATCTTAGTGGTGACGCCTACAAAGTAGACAGCTCAGAACCAGCCCCATTTCGGTTCCATCTCATTCTAGCCCTTGTCCTTCATCACCCCCTTCTCATGGCATGAGCACGTCGTCGCCAACTTTTACCAGACAAGCCGTGTATGATGAACCGTCTCCCCTTAGCAAATCAGATCACCTTCCTCCAGCTCCCTGGGACACCCAATCTTCTGGAGTACTTCCACCCCCACCATCAAAGTATAACCAGAGACAACAGTTTTTGAGCAGCAAGGTGCAGGTCATTCAAGTAGCGGATCCAATTCCTCTTACGATAGCTTGGTGGGACACGCGCAGAATTTGTCTTTGAATTCATCTACCCCAGCCAAACAAGAGAAGCCAGAAGATGCCCTTTTCAAAGACCTGGTTGACTTTGCTAAATCGAAGACTTCTTCGTCTTCAAAACCAAATAGGTCATATTGAGAAGTTGTGTTTGTATTGCTTTTGGTGGTACAGCTTCCATGCATATTGATCGAGTTTTGCCTCATATCTGAGATGACTATTTCATGCTTGCCCTTAGGAACCGTCGTATGCGATTTTTCCCCGTGCATGTGTCTAGTTTAATCCATTTGATGCATATATTCATGTATATTATTGGTCATAAAGAATTTGGTGACTCGTGTTTTCAATAATATTGGATTCTTAGCATCCAAGTTTCCTGAACATGCCTCTTTTTAAGGGTGCTTGAGCAGCTTCATTTTTCTTAGAGCTGGTATTCGGGTCAAGCTGGATGGCCATATCGAAGAAGTCCAAAAAATTTTAGAGCTGGGTTTTGTTTAGAAAATTTTTGGTTATGGGGCGTATTTGAATTGTCCAAATAAGCCAGATAAAATTTAGCATGAATGTCTAAATACTCCTTTTTTTTTTTTCTCCATTAGTGACACGAGCGAATGACAGTGTCACTCTCTTGGTCTCAATCTCAGTGCAGCATCTCGGTTTCTCTCACTCTCTTATCTAGTTCACTCTTCTCGCCCAATCCATGCTTCTTCTTCTTGCGCAGCTTGCTTAGTTCATTCAAAGTTCAGACCACCTTCAATTGGCGGACCCATGAGCTCAGGCTTTGTCTTCATCTGCCTTCGGCCTTCTGCTTTCTTCTTAGCTCGCCCAGTTCATTTAGATTTCAGATCTGATTAGGAAGGAAGAACCCATTAGCTCACATCCAGAGTCAGACCTCCATTAGCGGCATTTCCTCTGCCTCTGTTCTTCTCTTCCTCATCAGTTCATCCCAAGAGGACCAGTGTACAAACTCTAGACTAACTAAATAGAAAAATATTAATTGGATTTTTTTAAAGATGACAAATTACCAAATTAAGCCCAACGTTGAGAAGGATAGTGGATTCCGTTCAAGAGTATGCTCTATCTTCTTTCTGCTTATCTACTCCACCGTCTTCTATTTAGACCAATGCCAAGAAATATCCATGGGAAATTTGGAATGATGCCTTTACATAAGGCACATCTCCCAGCATAATAATTTTAACAATTTAATTTTAAGTTAAAAGAGAAATTGATTTTAAAAAAAAAGAAAAATAATTTTAAAAAGTTCTTGGTATTTGGAGTGGCCTAAATAAGCCAAAATTCAAGAATGTCAAGGCCGGACTAAGCTATAAAGTTTTTTTTTTTTTTTTTTAAGTTTGGGTATTTTAAGACCACTTTGAATTGAGCTTACCTCACTCAAACTATTGGCTCCAATTTTTTGAGATTCTTGTCTTGTAGCAAGCTCACAAATAAATGGGTCCAAGATTGCGATGGTTAATAGAATTGGTAATTCAGGCCAAGCTTGAATCAATTCGAAAAAAATAGGATTGAGTTTGGCTATATGAGTTTTTTAAGAGGGTAGTATATTTCAAGTCCGATCTGAATAAGTCCAGCTACTGAAATTCACAGCTCTATATATACACACATATATAAAATTGATAATTTTAATTAAGTTCGACGGGCAATCTAAATCTACCCAAAAAAAGTCAGAGCTAGGCTTAGCTATATAAGTTTTTCTAAGAGGGTAGGATACTTCAAGCCTGATCCAAATAGGCTTGGCCCATCTGAATTGCTGACCCTAATGGCTAACGCTAATTTAAACTCCACCATCAAGTTGAGTGCACATCGAAATTCTTTTGGACCACGATAGTTCAATTTAAAGTAGTGTTCAAATTAATCAATTTTTATATGGCATCGTTTTATAGAATGTTATGACTATATATATAGATATATGAAAAATTCTCACTTAGTATTTTCTTATGTTAGAATATTTTATTTAATAAAATACGAAGAACGAGGCAACCAGCCAACGAGGCATCTAATAATTATTGTTAAGGTAATTTCACATATAAATTATTGTTAATTAATTTAACATATATAAAAAATGTTAATTGAAGTTTTAATTTTTTTTAAAATATCTATATCTTTTCCTTCATGCCATTTCAAGAGTTTCTAGTAATAGAGGCGTCCTCTTTAAATATAGAGTATTTAAAAGCAAAGAATAAAAAAAAATAAGGGTATAAAATGAAAAAACAAACATAAAATTTACCCAATATTTTATATTTTAAATCAAGAAGTGCTTCTAAAAAGCCTTATATTGTAGTTCGAATGGGGTACTTATTTTATAAATTATTTATAAATTGCCCTTGTCTGACAATTCAGAAGTTAGAGCATCCGATACGAAATATTTTCCACTCTTTTTACTACAATTCAAAACATTATAATGTATGTTTTTTTGTTACAATAACCATGGACTTTCGTTTTTACCTTTAATTCTGAAAGACGATTTTTTATTCAAAGTTAAACGTAATGAGTAAAAATTCTCCTAAAGCATGATTGAAGTAAAATTTTTTGACGAACTTATTTCTTTAATGTTTAAATCTTATTCAAAAGTGCGGAAAAATAATGAAAAATATTGTATATTTTATATTAATATTAATTGATGATTTTTGATAAAAAATAAAAAACTTAGCAAAATTTTTTTTGGGGCGGGGACGAAGTAAGAGAGGCAAAAGGGGTTGAAATCTGAATGTACTCCACCTATATCAAGCTATAAGATAATTTTAAAAAAATTTCATTGTCTAAAAATATAAAATAATTTAAAAAATAAAATTTTATTAATGATACTTTTTTAATATTATCTTTCATATGAAAAGAGAATTAAAATTTTTATTTTTATTTTAAAAAAGTAAGTTTGTGAAGATCATTGTTATGTTTTATTGTTGTATATAATTTTGTCTCAAATTTATCATATAATTTGAAACGTTGGAGGGGGTTATTAAAGTGGGGTGTGGAGTGAATGTATCCTTGTTTAATTTAATAAAAGTTGACTCAATTGGTAAATACTTTTTCTGAATTACAATATAAATTGCGTTTTAGAAGTATCTCTTGATTTAAAATATAGGGAATTTGATAAATTTTATTTTATTTTATTTATACCCTTAAATTTTTTATTCCTTGCCTTTAAACATTTTGTATTTAAAAACTATGCACGTGTTATTTGGAACTCTTGAAAGAACATAAATAAAAAGATGCAGATATGTTTTTAAAGGATTAAGATTTGAACTAATATTCTTTTTAAATCGTAAATCAGTTAAGAATGATACATATTACAATCTAGAAGGAGTAACTGAGATTAGAAAGATATAAATGAGATGTAAAAAGGAAGAAAAAGATGAAGTGGTGCGCATTCCATACCCAGAAAACGATGAGGAAGTAATGATAAAGAAAAGATGAAAACATAAAAAGATTGGGTGGGTACATGGGGAAGAGACTTAGAGACTTTATTTATGAGATGTGGCATGATGAGTCGAGATGGAGGAGGCATGAATTAATGAGAGGAGAGGAAGTAATGAAGGATGAGGCGGTTGCAGGCGTGCTTAATGTGGGCACACAAGCGGATCATGATTCGTCTCTTGATTCTTCCCGATCTTTGCGCTCCCACTGCCCCCTTCTTCTTCCTCTTCCCCAGCTCCGCCATTTTCACCAACCTCAACTCTCTCTCTCTCTCTCTCTGTGGGGTTTTGCTTTTAATTTGCATGCCAAGCAGCGGTTGTAGTAGGCGCATATATATATATATGCTTTAGACAGGGAAGAGGATCGCAGGAACCTTCGTGCCACCTTCCAGCGATTTTGCCTTTTATGTCTCAAACACTTCACCTTTGCCTCATGCCATCCCCTCAACCATGTGCCGTACTTCTCAGTTATATATATTATTTGGTCCTTCATTTCCCAAACCCATTCGCTCTTTTACAATTTTACATGCTACTCACTCACTCACTCCTCCTCGTCTCTCTAGGACATGCACGTACCCGTGTCATAACTTCAACTTCAAGGTATTCGCTTTAAATTTAAATTAAAGCAACTCCACCATCATCATTAACTTCCAAAATCTTCCACCTCCACCTCACACAACAGTGTATAGCCAGGGAAATTTCATTTTTTCCCCTCCACCGTCGGGATAAAAAAGTATTTTTAGTATAACTTGTTTTTCATATTGCACTTTAATTTTGATTGAACTTCTCAATATTTTAAATTTTTAATTCTAACTTAATAAGGACATAACCTCTATAAATGAATGTTTCGACATCCAAACTAGAACCCTTTTTGCCCCAAATTAAAAGATATTTTTAAATGAGATTAGATATTTTAAAATATATGACACTTTAAAAATATTAATATTTCATTAAATAGACTTATTTTAATATTATCCGCTCTCTTTATTTAATTTAATTATGTTCCTTTCTCTCTTTAATATATTTAATAAATAAGTGACATTTTTAAAAGTTTATATTCTTGTTTTAAAAAATTAATATTGTTAAATGTATTTAATGATGTTTATTGATATATAAGATTTCATCTAAAAGTGTCTTATAATTTAGGATAAAAGAAGTATTGGCCTAACCCCTAATTTTTGTTAACTAATTATGAGAAGATTATATAGTTATTAAGTTTATCACAGTTAAAATTAATTAATTTTAATACACTGGTCCAATAAAGGCTAATTCCGCAATTGCATTTAACTTTTAATTCAACATAATTAATTAGAATCATAAAAAAAAAGATTGGAAAATAAGGGAAAGCTCATCAATTGATTTTTATGGCTTTCTGTGGATTTCAATTCTCATTAGTTTTCTTGTTGCCAAAAAAAAAAAATCCATTTTCTTCGGTATTTAAATAGTTTGTTTACGTTCAAGAGGTAAATGTATCAACTTTCGAGTCGAGCAACAGTTTTTTTTTTTTTTTAACTAGCCAGTTTACAAATCTCACGCAAAACACACAAACAAGAAGGAAGCGCGCGCGCGCGCGAGCCCAGAACATGACCTATCCAAATGCTAGATTGAAGCAATACACTACATGAATATAAACAGACAAGACGAAGCACACATTGGCGTCATATTTATAGCGATTTCAAAGAGAAGTCTCGATATTAACACAAGTGATGGGTAAGTAGATGATAAAAACTAACTAAATAGTGGTCTATGGTGATCCAGATAGACGATGGCGTATCTTCTTCACTGTGAGCTTAAAATTATGAATGACATCTCTGAGGATTCTGAGTTTGATATTATTAGTTCTCCGAACAGGCTTGCTCATCTGAATCTTCTTCTTTGAAATTACTGACCTTTCACGTTCAGGACCAGGCGCTTCTTCTGACCCAACGCTTGCTTCACGCTCTTTCATTTTGCCTTTGAGGAAGAAGGTACCTTTCTATGATAATAACAGGATGGAGGCAGATTTGTGTTCTGTACATGTGTTTTGCAGAAAGCACCGGCCCATATATATATATATATATATATATAGGCATACACAACATGGGCAAGAAACCAACGAGTATATTAATGCAGAATATTTACAAATAATTACAACGGACATTATGCCTACAGAATTCGCTAATAAAATGGGTTTAGAATATGGCAGGATCGGATTGCAATTGCAATGATGCCTTATTCCCGAAATGCCACGCACGCATTACCTCACCCCCGTAACGTCGCAACTTTATCCGTAATTTAATTAAGGACACACACCCCTCCCCCCCAATATTAGGTGATACAATATTACACATTTTAATCACGATAAATCTCGCTAAATATGTAAATCATATCCTAAATGCCAGCGTGAATGTATTTATCCCATCTTAATGTATCACTCTCTAAGGGCATTATCCTTGTTTTTAATAAAGTAGTCTCAGCCGGCAACTAATATTAATTTTTAATATTCATGTCTCATGTACTACTTTACCTCAACTTTTACGTTAGAGAGGGTTGAAAAAGTGAAAGTGAGTTTAATTCATAAAAAATATATGTATATGAAAATACGCATGGACGGCAAGGAAAGAAACCGTGGGAATAATATATAGCTGCTTCATTGAATGAAAAAAAAAATTAATCTGAACAACTTTGAATAAAAAAGAAAATCAAGACAAGGATGTATGTAAAGAGAGGACTTGACATTATTCAAAGGCAAGTAAGCCACATTCCTTCATGAAATGTATTGTTTCCATTGGTAGAAGATAGGTCCCATACACCTGTTGGGGGTTGATCGAACCCAAGTGGTGATAGGCAAGTTGATTGACAAAGTTAAGCATACGAAGCAAGTTGAGACTTTTGAAGTCGAAACCACCAAAGTCAATCCTACAAGTTGATTTGCCACCTCAGATATGTACAAGTCTTAATCGAGTTCAAAATCAACTCGTGGCATGCTGAGAATTCACCGTATAGGTTTTGTTTGGGCATCCCTTGAAGGTTGGATTGTCAAGAAAATTGATTGTCAAGAAATTAAAATAGACCAGTTTCTTTTTACTGAATCCCAAACTGTTGTAGCGCTAAGGAGAAATTGAGCAGACAATCTAATTTAACTTGTAGAAAAAAGTTGACTAGTCTTTTATGGTCCCGCACATTTTCACTAGCTCTATGACTATCCTCTATTGCGATTCTCACCGGTCCAAGTGTAGTGGGTTTGTAGCAATGTTTTCAGAACCGAACTAGATATTGAGCCAAAAAAGTCAGTGGATCACCGTTCATATGGTTCAACTGATTGGACCAATGGTCCAACCGGTGACGTAATAATTAAATTAAAAAAAAATATATATATATATATAATAATTTAAATATAAGAAATACAAATGAAATTACTATTTAACTTAAAAAAATTAAATATTTTAAGTTTATCACGAGTTAACAAGTTATATGATACAATATAATATTAAATAATTAAAAAAATTAGTCATTTTTTTAAAATTTGATAAAAAATAAAAAAAACATTTTTTTGAACAGTCAAGTTTTTGAAAACTGGATCCGGTTCCCGGTCCGACCACCGGTTCAAAACGGCTCAAACTGACTCAACTCTTAAAACGATTTTTTCCTTTGAACCAAACCGAAAACTAGACCGGTCGACGGTCCGACCGGCGCGGTCCGATTTGATTTTCAAAACAGTGGTTTATAGTTTAGAGGGAAACAAAAAGAAAAAAACAACTAAATTCTAACATTTTTAACAAATAAAAATAAGCACAATTTTTAAACATGCTTGGAGTATTGGAGCTTAAGAATTAAGGTCCATCAGTACTTATTAACTATCGTAATTGTAATTGTAATTGTAAATTTATATAAACTGCGAAAAATGGCAGTTTTCTTTCCCTGGTAACGCATAAGTTTAGCGTAGACAAGCCTCCGGGCAAAGAAGACAGGAATAGTTGCTGTAATGATATGATGATCAAATGGCCTCTATTGTACAAGAACAGTGTGTTGATATTTCCAAATGAAGACAATTGTTAAAGTGTGCAGGAAATGAATGACTCAATCATAAACGTGATCTTTGTGCAACTTTACATTTCCCTTTTCGAGTCGTCCCAAAGATTTGATTCATTCTTGCGAAGCTGAATTGAGCTGTTGGAAGAATTACGGGGAAAAATGAAATCCACATTATGAATAACCTTCGAACTCAAAGAAGGAAAGCAAAAAGAGCTTGGAAGATTGACTTTGGGCTTCGCCCACGATCTCTCCTCATCAAACCTTGCAAGTGATCCCCTTGTTTTCCCTGAAGACACAGCATGACCATTATCACCGAACTAGTTAACCCTGAAAAATTATGGTGGCTGCATAACCATTGGAATTTGCTAATGGTAAAAGCTGTGTCTGAAAACCATATAAAAATTATTCTAAAGTAAACAAGCAACTCATTTCAGTTCACTGCTAACTCTTGTTTAGTTTTTATTTCCCAAAAATACTTTTACATTTCTAAGATGATAATTTTTTTTAATAAATGCACCGATCAATAATGTCATGTATCATTTTTTTCATCTAAATATTATTAAAACACATAAAAAAATTTGAAAACACCTGGTTGAGGTAATGACAGATTCCTCTAGTAATTTTTACCTCCATAGCATCCTTGAGTGCTCCCCAACATTCCATCCTGTTGTACTTTTTAGAACTAGAATGAAAATACACTCGGACTATAGAGCCCAGCAATTCAGGATGCTCACTGAAAAGCACAGAATCTCCATGTCGAATTGCTTTCAGCACCTGTCATGCTCAAGACAGGAAGTCGTACTTATAACCATAATACCACTGACAGATTAGCAACCCTCAGAGAGAGGATGCTTTAGAGTAGTAGTGTGAAAGGATATGAAGACATTGAATAGTAAACAAGTATATAGATGTATCTTCAGGTAACAAAATCTTCTTCAATATGATACCACACCAGAAGCACACCAGCTTTTTGCAATTGGAGAAGCATTTCTTGCATAAACCAGAAAGAGCCATGAGGACAACCTATCTGATATATTAGTTAGTGTACTATGCATATGTACCAACTTCATAAGCAAATTCATTTTCATTTACCACATAATCTTGAGTAATACAACCTAAATGAATAATCTACATTTGTGATGGTTTTTTGTAGCAATTTGGGCAATGGAAAACTTTGGTAAAGCAGCTCACACGGAGGGTTCTTTCCCCAGTTTCACCCATTAACATTCATAGGAGGTAGCAAGATAAAATGGAATGTTTAGAGGGGGTGACATGGAATAAGGCAAACATACCAAAGGCATTTCCTTGGAGAATATGTGATATCTGAATTCAGCAGCTACATCCAGAAAGGGATTGGGACCACAGACAAAGCAATGAATATGAAGGCACATTTCATTTTTCACTTTCTTCCACTCAGCTACAACATCATCCTTCTTGTACCACCCTCTCAACTGCCATAGTCATTAAAGGCAAGGCAGCCATAAACTATGAATTGAGATAACTTCGGATTTTTGTAAACTTAAGCATCAGAAACTTTTATTACTTGTAAGTCATACAGGTATAATTAAAGATACATACCTGATCAAGGTTGATCACATTGGATACAGTTAAAGTCAAATTAGCTGTAAAGTCACAATGAGATAGGATGTAGGTTCTTGGAATAATACTTGCACATTTATTTATGTGATCTTCCAATAGAACAACCTTCAGTTTTGAAGCTTCAAATCTTGCTGGAGGACCCAACAGCCTAACAGCCTAGCAACATTAAGAACAATAAGCGCCCTTTTACCAGGAATATCAATAATAATCATTACATATTATATTAAATTTTTTGCCCCTCTCAGACATAAGGATGTCAGATTTTGCAACTGAAACCAAAATTCAGGAGATAAAGGTTTTTGCTGGAGCTTTTGTCACTCTAAATAAGCGAATCTTCAATAAGCAACTGTTTGAAAGGTTCTCAGCTTGCAAGAAATTCTCTCACAAAGTATATCTCTTTTGTGCATAAATCATAAAAAGCAATTATAATTTTGTAAATAAAAGGGGGAGCCAGATCACTGATTGACGAGGTCTAGCTTTTATTTTTTAACACTAGAGTCAGGCAATCATGCAATTGTGTAGCTTTTATTTATTCACTTATATGTCTTTATAACTGATTGAAGAGATCTAGCATTTACGTTTTGACTTTATTTTAAAACAAATTTAAAAACCACACAATCACATGGCCACATGACTCTAGATATTCTATTTTATCATCGAAAAGTTTTGGTTTCAAGAAAAAATCTGCAGGAAGAACTTGTGCCCCAGAAGTTTGTGGACATGTAGAATATTGACACATTCATGTCAGTAAGCTAAAGGCGATTAGTGTTGTGTGAAACAATGTATTCGACTTCTTAGGAATAGGACACGCCATCATATTAAGAGCTAAATTTTCATGAAAAAAAAGGGATTTGAGGAAAGAAAAACTCAGAAATTTACCAAAATCAAATTTATCGTACAATGCAAGGACAAAAAAAATATGAAGACAGAACCAAGCACTACCATGAAAGCAAAGGATCAGGCCCTAAGAAGTATGTCTGGCCAAAAAAAATGAAAGACCGTAGCAAGTGCGGGTGCTAGCACAGCAAGATCTGAAACGTCCGTATCAAATTTAAAATTGCAGGTATTGTTAAGATGTCAAGTGTGAGTGCACTTAATGTGGGAAGGCCCGCCTTGAACTTGACATCTAACAGTTATAAATTGGAGTTTACAAAATGTGTTGAACGAGTACACTACTCCTTTTCTGAGTTGTCCATGCTTCATGGATTAGACTTCAAGAGGATAGTTTTCTTCCGATTATAAAGCATAAGCATGCATATTTATTGCAGGATCTCACATTGTGGATCCTTAAACTTCAAATGGTAGAATGCAGCGTCGAAAAAGCATTAACGAACTTGAAACGACTGAGAAAAGCATCTCTTCGGGCGTAAGATATAAGCCCCATCGTTTTAATTCAGCAAACACAAACTACCGAGGAGAGAAGACTGCAAAACTAGCAGTTTCATGAGCTAAGAGATTTCATGTGTAGCTACATCAAGAGTTAAGGGACTGAGGAAAGCAGGAACGAAAACATCTTGGCATGTAACACCCATTATACATTAACTAAAGCGCAGATTCTAAAACAATAAAATTTATGAGCAAAGAGACATCACAACTAGCGACATTGAACATGGAATTCTATACAATCCTAAATTTCCCTCATAGCTCACACTAGCTGGTAATCCCGAAATGCCAGCAAATGAGTGTGAGTACAGGGCATGCCGTTTCAAACTAGAATAAAATTGATTAATTAGCAGAAGATAGAGCAGGGGTTACCTCAGAAACGAGGGTGTTGTAGGACGCGGAAGCTTTGGTTATGGTGGATAAAAGAAAAGGTCTACTTCTATTGGATGATTTTGAGACGAAATTGGCGCTGAAGAGTTCCCTTGATGGTGAAAAAGAAAAGGCATTGCAAGCACAATGGGTAGCCATGGAAGATGCATAACACAGTCGTTTTCTTCATTTTCCACAGGCCACCATTGTCTTCTTTCAGGCCTTCTCCTAAAGAGAGAAGCCGAGTGAGGGGAAGGAAAGAGGGGTGATTTGGGCTGTCGTGCATGGGACCCCACGGCCTAAAATTTCTGTCAATCAATTCCCTCCACACGATATCATTATTATTAATTTTTTCTTTTTGTTTTTGGAACTTAAAAAATCAGTCTTTTTTTTTTTTTAATTAAGAAAATACCGGTGAGCGGAGGACGGAGATTGGTCATGGAGATGATGGTTGTGCCACGTCATCGAACAGCTTGAATTTTCGATTGCTTATGGATAATGTGATGATGTGGCTTTTATTGGGCCAAGAATTCGCGAGAAGCAGATCCGACCTCCTTAATAAATTCAACAATTCTTGAGATAGCATTTTTTTTTAATTATCCATAAGTATCTTCTAATAAAAGATAATTTTATTTGAAATACTGTACATTAAATGAAGGCAACTATTCCAAAGAGAAATATAAGTTGAATGATGATTCTCGCACCATCTAATTCGAGCCTTAACGATCGGGCTTCTTAATTCAACTAATGTAACCCTGATCGGTGTTTCAGGCCTGCTCTATTGGGCCTTAAATGTTTGTTTTTGGTTTCCGTCCAAACATTGGGCCTCGTCAAGAATGGATTCGTGCATTCGTGTCAAGATAGTTGACACAGATATTTTGCTTCTTCACCTTTATTTTATTTTTTTAATAAATTTGTTGGAAGACCATGGAGCGACGGATGAGCACCGCTGTCCAAATTCGATTTCAGAGCTAACTGTCACGGGCTGAGAGTCTGGCGCAGCACACGGCGCCCGTGCGGCGTCCTGGAGGACCCCATAATCCTCAGGACAAGCCTTACCACGTACGGATCACACTGGTTTCGCCCTGCCATGGGCTCATCAGGGAGGCGGCACTAGCCCCCGACCAGTTGTGCACACAGTCCGAAGACTGAGGCAGAACACCCCCAATGCTAATGTCGCCCCCTTTACCCATATTGTGCGAGGCTAACCAGCGGACCGTTCATTATCTTGGTCTTTACACGGTCACGGAAATATCATCCGTGACATTCTCCCACACCCAATCTAGCACGCCCTCGTGCTAGGGGAGAACGACTCCGCCCAAGGATCGTACGTACAGTACTGCCACAAACACATCAGCTTACTTGCTGAGTGGCCACCCGAGTCCTGCACTCTTCGGACCCACTCGCACCCGCGAGCCAACAGGAGTGGAGTCGACAACGGCCAACCTTCCCGCCCGAGTCCCCACTTTTGGACCCACCTGCTCGGAGGCCTTTCTGGAGCGGTGCCGAGGCCGACCAGTCCCAACGTGGGACCCCACGCGCACACGACAGTAAAGTACGTCCTGCTCTGATACCACTCTGTCACGGGCTGAGAGTCTGGCGCAGCACACGGCGCCCGTGCGGCGTCCTGGAGGACCCCATAATCCTCAGGACAAGCCTTACCACGTACGGATCACACTGGTTTCGCCCTGCCATGGGCTCATCAGGGAGGCGGCACTAGCCCCCGACCAGTTGTGCACACAGTCCGAAGACTGAGGCAGAACACCCCCAATGCTAATGTCGCCCCCTTTACCCATATTGTGCGAGGCTAACCAGCGGACCGTTCATTATCTTGGTCTTTACACGGTCACGGAAATATCATCCGTGACATTCTCCCACACCCAATCTAGCACGCCCTCGTGCTAGGGGAGAACGACTCCGCCCAAGGATCGTACGTACAGTACTGCCACAAACACATCAGCTTACTTGCTGAGTGGCCACCCGAGTCCTGCACTCTTCGGACCCACTCGCACCCGCGAGCCAACAGGAGTGGAGTCGACAACGGCCAACCTTCCCGCCCGAGTCCCCACTTTTGGACCCACCTGCTCGGAGGCCTTTCTGGAGCGGTGCCGAGGCCGACCAGTCCCAACGTGGGACCCCACGCGCACACGACAGTAAAGTACGTCCTGCTCTGATACCACTCTGTCACGGGCTGAGAGTCTGGCGCAGCATACGGCGCCCGTGCGGCGTCCTGGAGGACCCCATAATCCTCAGGACAAGCCTTACCACGTACGGATCACACTGGTTTCGCCCTGCCATGGGCTCATCAGGGAGGCGGCACTAGCCCCCGACCAGTTGTGCACACAGTCCGAAGACTGAGGCAGAACACCCCCAATGCTAATGTCGCCCCCTTTACCCATATTGTGCGAGGCTAACCAGCGGACCGTTCATTATCTTGGTCTTTACACGGTCACGGAAATATCATCCGTGACATAACGCTTAGTCGTCAAAACTTGTCATATTTGTTTGTTCCAATTGCCATTGTCACCTGTTGCATTAAAAAAACAATAAAGAAAAAGAACAAATAGCACCTGTACGTATTTGCACCCCACTCTGACTGACATTATTTATCCTTTTTTTATTGCAATTAAATAGGCGTTTTGTCATTTGTGCATTAAATATGAGAAATGAGTGTGTTATTAAAAATTTAGGAATTATGAATAATTAGTATGGATTTATATTGTTATTCGTACATAAATAAAATACATTTATGCGCATCTTTCAACGAAAACCACTGGCCTCTGGTCTCGTGCGACTTCAATGGGCTTTGCCAGCGCAACGCAACGCGCATGATGCCTTTGCCCGTTAATCTTGTCTCTGTTGTTTTGCTTCCATTGAAATATCTACTGCTGTAGTCCTTCGCCATCATCCATTACCTCTGCGACCTGCGTGATAGTTTTATACAAGCAAAAAAACCCTACAAGTACCCAAGACTGAAGTCTGAAACTCCGACTAATTCTTACCAACAATTTGCCATTCCCAGCTATCTGTCTACTCGTCTGCTGAATATGATAGGCGAAAGTGAGTAAAGCCTGGTCAATTCGTCACAGTACCTTGTTTTTGACTTCCATTCCTTTCAAGGTAGGATGTTTCAATTAGCTTACCTTTACAATCATGATCTTCCGTTTCTGTTTGTGGGATGTGCTGGAAATGCTTTGAAAGGATGTGTTTTTTGGTAAATGTACCTTATTCGTGATGCTTGCCTTCCTTTTCTCTGCAACCATAAACGAACCTCGTCTCAGTTTCTCACTTTTCTTTGCTCGATTTCTTGCTTTTTTTCATGTTCTTTTGGGGTTTCCTCATGAGATATCTTGTAATCGACTTTACGCAAAATTTTAATCAGTTCCGCCAAGAGTTCCGCATCTTAGGGTGGAATTCTCCCTTGTAAGTCCTTCAAATATTGCGAGAAAGTTCCGATTTTGCGTTTCAAAGATGTAGCATTCAAATTAAATTGGCAGCGAATCTGCTCTGTACAAAGCTTTCTCGTTCAAACGAAAGCCAAAATTAGTCCATCAATGCCAATTCCTGAGAGTTGTGGTTCTAGGGGGAAAAAACAGTAGTAACTAAACTTGGTCTTAGCCAAAAGGCCGATATCTTGGGGAAATTCAGAAGGGATGGCATTGAGTAGTCTCTCCGCAAGCTCGGCAAGAGTTCTTAACTCGCAACTCCAATAGTGGATTCGGGAGAAGCTTGGCATCGAGGAGAAGAGAAGTGATGATAACTGGCGAAACTTATTCGCCACTTCATGCTGGGCAATTTGGGGAAAAAGAAATGAGTTTATATTTAAGGAGAAAATCATTGCTTATCACAACGTTGTCGGACAGGCGAGAGCTTGAGGTTCACATATGCATGATGCGAAGAAAATTTTCACGGCAAAGTCGAAGAGTGATAAACAGATTATGTGGAATCCGTCGGAGGAGGATCGTATGCTGAGTGGGTGCTTTTTCTTGCTTATTGATGGTGCTGTTGTTTTTGGCATTCGTCAATCTTTCTCATTCTCTGTTCTATTGCTTATTCTTCAGCTTCTGATTATTTTGTTGGGATACTGGAGGTCACATGTATTGTTCATCAATAGCCTTGAAATTTTGAAACTCAAAAAGAGTCTTTATTTCGGGGCCAATAAAAGAGCCTTTGGTGTCAACTACTAGGTTGCATAGATACGGGTACGAGTATCCGATATGATACAGCATGATACGAGGATACGGGAAATTTTTAAAATTTTAGGATACGGGTACGGGGATATTTATAATATATATTTCAACATTTTATAATATAAGTATAGGTATTTTGATTTTTAAACAAGAATTTCTAAAGTAATATAAGGATATTTATAGTAATTAACTAAAATATTAAGTGTTTTTTCAAGTTTTTAAGTGATAGAGTAAAAATTATTGAAAAAAATCATATTACAAATATTAGAATATGGAATACGTATGCAGAAGTATCCTACAAGTATCGTATCGGATACAGGTACGTTTACTTTTTTGAAGTATCCGTGCTGCATAGGTCAACTATTGAACTTTCCAAATACTTGAAAAGTAAAGCTCAGGTTTTTCATTCATAGTTTTTCACGTACTTCATTTATCAAAAATCCCTATGTTTGATTTTAGTCTTTTAGATGTTTATTTGAGTAGTATGGTTTAACTGCAATACTTTTCCCTCTTAATTACGTAAATGAGGCATTCTGATATATTTTTCTAAACTAATAGAAAGAAGAAAGCATGAATTAGCCAAGTTTTAGTGCATTTTTATAATGAATTTTCATATATTTTGCTTTCCTTACTAGGTACATGAAACTTGAAATATCAGAAGTTAAAAAGCATGGCTATTGTGAAGAATTCCCGAGTTGAAGAGAGGAAGAAGTTGAACTACTACTCGACAGTCTCTGTAGCTGTGTTTGTTGCATTTTGTTTACTTGGTGTATGGATAGTAATGTCATTCATTGCTCCACTTCAGAATTCAGAGTTGCTGGTATCTGAGACTATTAATGAGGTGAAAAATATAGTAGGTGAAGATGCCTCCACGCAATTTGAAAATAGTTCAGCTGATATAGTAGATGAATCAACAAAGGCAGATCTCCAGGCGAATAAATCTGAGAGTGAAAACCATTTAAAAGACCAAGAGGAGCAAAAAGCTACTGGAGAATTGTATGGTAACACAGCTGTTGCAAATCGGCTAGAGGATACTACAAGGGAGAGCTCTGATGAGAAGAATGATTCAGATAAGGGTTCAAGCACTAAGGAGAAAGACTTCAACAGAAACTTAAATTCAGAATCTGTAGAAACAGAAACACTAGGTGTCCAGACTATTGATGAAAAGGATTCGGACAAAAATGTTGGTGACAACAAAATCGGGACAGATAAAAGTACAGACAATATTAGACATCAAGCTGAGAGGGCTGGGGAGACTGTGGAGGAGATGATTAAGAAAAATATGCTTTCTAAGACAGAACAATCTACTAGAGAGAGTATCATGGAAAGTCATGAAAGTAGTCAAACTTCTGAGGATGCTTTTAATGCTGATACAGGGTCTGGAATTTTAAATGGTGGCAGTGCTACGGCAGAAAATGGAACGTGGTCAACTCAAGCTGTAGAGTCACAACATGAGAAGGAAACACAGAAGTCTTTAATGTCTAATGACAGCAACAAATATGAGTGGAAACTTTGTAAAACAACTGCAGGACCAGAGTACATTCCTTGTCTTGATAATTGGCGAGCTATTAGAAAGCTTCAAAGTATCAGTCACTATGAACATTGGGAGAGGCACTGTCCTGAAGAAGCTCCCACCTGTCTTGTTCCTCTACCTAAGGGCTACAGAATCCCAATTAATTGGCCTAGAAGTAGGGAAATGGTTAGTGACATATGCTGGATGAAAATAACATGTTGTTACTTAATGTTGAAGTTTTTTTGGGGTACCAATTGCAGATATGGTATAACAATGCGCCACACACAAAACTTGCAGAAGTTAAGGGTCATCAAAATTGGGTCAAAGTTACTGGAGAATACCTTAGTTTTCCTGGAGGTGGAACTCAGTTTAAGCACGGTGCTCTTCATTACATAGAATTCATTCAGAAGGTAAGCGATTCTCATGTATCTCTATGTCGTCAATGCCATTCTTTTTCTAATATCGTATTTTGCATAATTGATTGTTCTTGCTAAATATTTTTGAAAACCTACAACTTGATTCTTCAGTACGGGAGAGCAGAAATGTATTTATGTCATTTGTTGCATATATAGCAACATCCTTGTTTTTCATCAAAAGATACATTCGTAATTAAACATGCATACGGCCCTGCATGTCTTTCATATCAGGTGCTAGGAAGGCTAATGTATATATTGATTAACAAACTAGATTGGTTCATTTGTTGTCAAAAAAGCTCTCTAAGTTAACATTTAAGCGTTATATTTCCTCTTTTTCCTGACTTTGCTAGCAACTGTAGTTTGGGGTTACATACTAATATCTAATAATAGTTTCTAGAGAAATAACTATATCCTGGGAAAAAATGATGATGAGAAAGATACGAGTATATTTAATTTTTGATTGTGTGATTGTTGCGATAAGCAGAATAGATAACTTTGAGTCATGTTAAGAGGGGTAGAGGAAAGTTAAAGAGAACATTTTTGGAAATTGTTGATTGAGACCTCTTAATTAATAATATTTTTTAAAGCTTGATAAATAATAGAACACATTGGTGTCGTATAATCTATATAGCCGACTCCACTTAGTGAGATAAGGCTTGTTGTTATTGTTGTATTGTTGCGATGAACTTTGTAGAGAAATGGCTGTTGGTTGATGTTCAAATGTCAAAACATAAGGGCATTTATGATTATACTTACCATTTTAAGGCATTGTAAAAGTTCTCAAAATTTTGAACTGAATTATTACCATCCTTTGTTCATCTAACTTTTCTACTTTAGCACCTACTTATAGTGTGTATGGATATCCACTGAAAGTACTTTCTATCATGTTTGGCGATGGGGGAAATGTACATTTCTCGGAAGGAACAATTGCTCTAGGGTAGTTTCAGTTTTTATCTAAACATACCTTTATTCACTATGGCTGTCTTGATCTTCTCTGCCTTCATAATCCACCTATAATTTCATAATCTTGTTTCACAGTGTAAGGTTTACACAATGAAAAAAATTGCGTCTCTTGTATATGCTTTTAGTAATTCAATCTCAGTGGTATTTTATTTTTCATATTTATCTTGTCATGCCTTTAACTTCTTTAAGTTTAACAACTTGTTAATACACTGTCTTCAAAATTTTACTTCTCATTTGATTGGTATCTTCTCTTGAATGGGTTCTTGCACAATGGTTCAAAATTTTAGTTCCCATTTGATCTCTTCTCTTGATTGGGCACTTGTTCAATGGTCTAGTCTCTTCGTAAAATAGCATGGGGGAAAAGAAGTCGTGTTATATTGGATGTTGGATGTGGGGTGGCTAGCTTTGGAGGCTACTTGTTCGAAAAAGACGTTCTTACCATGTCACTTGCTCCTAAAGATGTGCATGAGGCCCAAGTACAATTTGCACTTGAACGAGGAATTCCTGCCATATTAGGTGCCATGGGCTCAAAAAGATTGCCCTTCCCTGGTTCTGTGTTTGATCTTGTCCATTGTGCGCGCTGTAGAGTCCCTTGGCACATAGAAGGTGGACAAACCTTTCATGAACTTCTCTTTTTCTTAACTTCTATTATTTCCATTCATGCTTGAATTATCTAGTAATGCCCTATTAATTGTACAATGCAGGTGGTAGGCTGCTGTTGGAGCTTAACCGTGTCTTGCGGCCAGGAGGTTACTTTGTCTGGTCTGCTACCCCAGTGTATCAAAAGAATCCAGAAGACTCTGGGATTTGGAGAGGTAAAGCTCATTTTACCCAAGTTTTTATTACCGGTAAAAACCACTATGGGGGTTGATTTTATGGAAAATCTATTTATTGCAGATATGGGTGAAATTACAAAGTCAATGTGCTGGGATATGGTGGTGATTGGAAGGGACAAATTGAATGGAGTGGCAGCTGCAATATACAGAAAACCAACTTCCAATGAATGTTATAACTCCAGAGCCAAAAATGAGCCTCCATTGTGCAGTGAGCATGATGATGCAAATGCAGCTTGGTAAATAAAAAGATGAGGGGACAGTTTACCAAAAAATATAAATTTTGTTTTTTGGCCAAAACCAAAAGATACAAGTTGGTTGGTAGTTTTTGAACAACTATTAATTGATGGGAATGGAACACAACAGGCAGCCTTATCCCACTGGGTGGGGAATTGGTAGGAATGGAAATAATTTGAAAATTCCTAATGAGAATTCATTAAAAAAAATCCTAATAAGAATGCATAACATAATTGAAACTTTCTAAGCTATAACAGATGTTGAACCTGTATTATTGGAAATTAAATGATATTTTTATTTGCATTTGTTGTTACATGCTTATGATCAGTTTTGGCCTTGTCAAACGAGCGTGACCTGTTCAAATTTGTCAGAGCAATGATTAATTTTAATGAACATGCTTTTATTCAAATATGAGAAATTAACAAAGCCAGTGAAACCACCATAGTCTTCAACTCTGTATTTGTAGAACTTATCCAAGGGTTCCAGCATTGTTGTACTTAGGAACATCTCTTTCTGATGGAGCTTCTCCTTTACTCATTACATGTACCAAATTCCAATATCTTCAGGAATGTATCAATAGAGACTTGTGTGCACAAAGTACCTGTTGGCGCATCAGAGCGTGGATCACTTTGGCCTGTACATTGGCCAATGAGATTGGAGAAACCACCTTACTGGTTGAACTCTCAGGCAGGTATTTATAGAAGAGCCGCTCCAGGAGATTTCACTGCTGACTCTAGGCATTGGAAAAATGTTCTTTCCCACTCATACATGGATGGAATGGGTATCGACTGGTCTTTAGTAAGAAATGTCATGGATATGAGAGCTGTTTATGGAGGGTAAGACATTCTCCTTTCTTTTGCATATTTTGATTCCCATGAATGCCATAATTCCCCGAAAGTCCCTCACCTTTGAAATTTTTTTAGCAAAACTTCTTGTAGCATTTTTTTTTTGGTCCTTGCATACATTTTACAATATGGGGGGAAAATATGGCTTTTGGCAATGTCCAAAATGTTGCAAATTTTAAATTTGGTGAGATCAATTGTTTTGCGTTATAGTTCTTATTCTTTCTTTCAACCTAAAAATGTTTTTATGAGTAGATCAATTACGCCTACAAAGTACCGATACTTCAAGAATTCCATCCTTGTATCAAATATGAATCAACACTTCAAATTGTACCTATGCACTATATATTTTGTCTTGTAGCAATGTCGTATTGCATCTTGTTTTGTATGAGTCAGGCCGTGCTTCTTAGGAGTCTAATGTTGTGTGATTTCATGTAATGGGTCCACTAGAGTGACTATCAATTCTTTTCCTTCTCATCTTTTTCTTGTTCCTTTTGAACGTTTTTTTTTTTTTTTGGAGAGAGAGAGAGAGAGAGAGTTTTAGACTCTTTCTTCCTGTGATTTCCTTTTTTTGGTGATGTAACTGCTAACTTCTGCAGGTATTGTTGTTTTCCAGGTTTGCTGCGGCTTTGAAAAACTTGAAAGTATGGGTAATGAATGTAGTTCCAATTGACTCTCCAAATACATTGGCTATAATCTATGAGCGTGGCCTATTTGGAATTTATCATGACTGGTGTGAGTCATTCAATACCTATCCTAGGTCTTATGATCTTCTCCATGCTGATTACCTGTTCTCTAAGACTAAAGAACGGTAAGTTCGATGATCATGAAAATTGTCAACCATGAAATCTCCTGAGATTCCTCTTGTTTAACTTACGCTTCACTCGATTCAGATGCAACATAGAAGCGGTGATTGCAGAAGTTGATCGGATCATGCGACCTGAAGGTTATTTAATCGTAAGGGACACTGTTGAAAGTACAGGTGAGTTAGAGAGTATAGCTAAATCTCTACAATGGGATATTCGATTTACATATTCAAAAGGCAATGAGGGATTACTCTGTATTCAGAAGACATTCTGGCGTCCAACCAAGACAGAAACCATTGTGTCAGCCATTGCTTGAGTAGAATGCTTTATTACCCCAATTTCAAAGGCTGCACTCCTTATTTTAACTTAGGTCTAATTGAAGAATGTCACCTGTCAATTATTTATATTGTTTCTTCTATAAATTTTTGGTTGAAAGTGTTCTAGCATCCCTTATGAGGTTTACCCTTTTCATATATTTTCACACCACTAGATTTTGTTGATGAGGAACTTGGATAGACGTTGGCACTGTGGAAACTAAATTGATGTGACTACGACAGGGGACTTAAATTGCTCTTGAAAATGTTCAGAATCTTAGTTTATGAAATTGTTGGAATTTTTTATTTGTATTTAAAGATTTGTATCACGCCAACTTCAACAATTGAGCTATTCAATCATTAAATGGTTATAAATTACTTTTTTTGACCGCACTGGTTATAAAATACTCAAGTCTTGTGCATACACAAGTTACTCGGCAGGTCTTATTCTTTATGGCTAAAATATATTAAATTTCTTTAAATTTTAAGATAGTTGTCTATAATTTACCTCACATTTAAATGTTTTAAATTTACTCTCCTAACCTTAATTTTGTTTTTAAAAGCCATCTACTGTTAATTAACTCTATTATGTCATGAATAGAGTTTTTCATGTTAGATTAATCAAATATGCACGGCATATGATATAAAAAAAATATTTTATCAATTTTAACATGATTTAAGGAGGGGGAAACTATAATTTGTACTTTTAACACATGTGATGATAGTCTTATTTTTTCAATTAAACGACATTATTTTCATTATCCATCATTAACACGATTTAAGAGAGAAATTATAATTTTATTTTATTTTTATTTAAGCCTTTTACATTAAACAAATCAAAAGAAAAATATCTAAAAAATATCATTGATAAAATTATATAAATAAAAATTTATCCTTTAATACAAAAAAAATTATGTACCATTGATAATAAAGAGAAACATGAATGAAACTAATACAAAAGTAAATATTTAAAAAATATATATTTTTTATACATTTAATATTGCTTACCTAAAATGCCAAAACAAAATAAAATTTGGAGAGTTAGGAGAGTTAATTTTAAATATTTAAATATAAGAACTGTCATATACAACTACCTTAAAGTTCAAAAGAATTTTATATATTTAACTTTCTTTGTATATACTCTAGTCAACTTTAACTTTTTAGTCTTGTGTGCGTGTACCCAAATCTAATGAAAAAAACCACTCCCTTCATGTTCGCCATATTGGAATTTAAAATAAAAAAAATGTTAGGGTTGGTCGATTAAATTTGTCCTCATCATGCAAACCTTTGTTATACTTTTTTTTTAGGTTGTACAAGGCAAGACAAGCTTGGAAGAAAGATGAAACAAGAAAATAAGTAGTATATTTCCTATCAGCCAAAATCATGGTGTTGCATTTCAAAGGACAGTACTGAATCAGTTGGATATTTGGCCCTGTTTCATGGGTATTCCGAGCAAAGTAATCTTACACATATGATGAAATCTTTAGGTATATTCCAAATGGATACATCCCTGTCCCTATATATATATCTATAAGTTCACACATGTCTCTAACTAATGCTTGAAGGGGTGACAAGGACCATAATCTTGAAAGATAAGGTTTTAGGCTTTTAATGAATCCAAATATACATGTATAGCTCTAATGTTTTCCTGATGCCATACTTGAAGGCCCGTTTGAATAGTGATGAGTTTGGCCATGGTGATTGATGCCATACTTATTGACACTTTCCTCACAGGGACACTAAAAAAGACAATTTGCACTTTATGTAAGCCCTTTTAGCTCTGAGTGAGTTGGTTAGAATTCTCTCGTGAGTAATTTACCACATGAAGAATTTAGTGCTCTCTGGGATAGGCCATCTCTACATTTTTGCCCAAACAGGATCTTGAGGTCTCTAATGGTAATTTTGGAGAAAATCATAAGTCGCTTTAACACTAAATCTGCCATCAAAATTCTTGTCTCTAACAAAAATTTTATTATACTTTAATTTATTTCTTAACAACATATTTGGCTTACAGAGTGAAAAGCAAAGAAAAGCTTAGACAAGTCTAATGAAATGCTTAGAAATTTAAGAATTATGGTTTTTGTGAAGAATAAATTGACACACATGATAATAGATGCACTTTAGGCCTACAAAATTAAAGTAAAAACAAGTCCTACAAATAAAAACAAGATAGAAGCATAGACATATGAATATCAAATGATCAACGCCTATCTACAATCTCCAATGCTATATCCTTTAGGTGTATGAACAAGTAAGTATTCATTTTCTTCCACTGTGGCATCCCTACTCTTCACCCAAGGATGCCTTTCCATAACAATCAAGCCCTCTAATTCCATTACTACTTCCTTCATAGCCGGTCTTTCCTTTTTATTAACTTTAACACACCTCATTGTCAGAAAAGCAACTTCCTTCAACTATCCAGCATTCTTCTTCTAATCTAAGAATGTCCTATCAAGAATTTCCATAAACAGTCTTCTTTTAAAGAAGACGCAAAGTATATAGCCAAATTTCTTTTTTCTGGTCTACTGAATTCAACTAATTCATTTCTCATAAGTAGCTCCACTAGTACAACCTCAAAACTATATACACCACTTTTCTTATTTAACTGACCTATGTAGAGACACTCTTGATCGTGTTCCTCACACCATCGTGGTAACTTGAGTCTCATCAACAGGGACAAGTCTTGAAGCTCCAAAATCTAACACCTTTGCACTATTATGTTGGTAGATTTTATATCCCAATGAATAATTGGAATAGAAGTTGCAGAGTGCAACTATGAAATGGCCTTGAAAATTTTTATACTACCTTTAATCTAGTCTCCCATGAAATACAACATTCATTCTTTAATGGGTCAATGTGGTCAAGAAAGGTTCTATTATCCACAAACTCATAAACTAATAAAGGAATATTAGTTCTAAGATAGCATCCTAAAAGTTTGACCATATTTCGATGATTGATTTGGGGAAAACACAACTACTTCATTGATAAAATCTTTATTTGTCTAGGATCCCCTCCTACTTTGAACTTCTTAATAATAATTGGCATGTTGTCCAATAATAGACCTTTATAAATTATGCCTTGCCCCCTTGACCAAGGATTCTATCTTCATTAAAGTTGTTTGTGGCATTTTAAAGCTTAACTTGTGTAAATATTTTGGCTCTGTCAACGTATCTTTGTTGTTGTGAGAGTCTTGTAGTGAAGGTTTCCTCCATTTTGCTCAAAATTTCTTTTCCTAATATGTTTCAAAGTTCTTTGCTTGTGTGCCCAACATAATATGGAAACTAGTATGAAGCCAACCAACAAAGTTACACAAATGCCTGCAAGCAATGTAGTCCATAGTACGATTTTCAAGTAGGAGAACAGATTTAAATTTTGACAAATATTCTATTATCCACCAAACTCATAAACTAATAAAGGAATATTAGTTCTAAGATAGCATCCTAAAAGTTTGACCATATTTCGATGATTGATTTGGGAAAAACACAACTACTTCATTGATAAAATCTTTAATTTGTCTAGGATCCCCTCCTACTTTGAACTCTTAATAATAATTGGCATGTGTCCAATAATAGACCTTTATAAATATGCCTGCCCCCTTGACCAAGGATTCTATCTTCATTAAAGTTGTTTGTGGCATTTAAAGCTTAACTTGTGTAAATATTTTGGCTCTGTCAACGTATGATAGGTTTCCTCCATTTTGCTCAAAATTTCTTTTCCTAATATGTTTCAAAGTTCTTTGCTTGTGTGCCCAACATAATATGGAAACTAGTATGAAGCCAACCAACAAAGTTACACAAATGCCTGCAAGCAATATAGTCCATAGTACGATTTCAAGTAGGAGAACAGATTTAAATTTTGACAAATAAATATATTCAAGAAGTATATTCCTCTATTTATTTTTATTTGTTCCCTCCAATCCAATGCCCATAATGTACCATACTCTGAGAAAATAGGAAGAAAACTCTATTATTAACCAACTAGGTACAAACTCATAACAAATTGAAATGACAGTAGTGTTTTTGAAAAGAATGGTGTTGTAAAATTGTTTTGGATGAATCCACATGAACATAAAGGATGCAACGCGAGACAGAGCCTTTACTATTTGAGTTCCTATCATAAGGCAAGCTTCCTAGCTAATAAAAAAAACCTTTCTATTATTAAACAAAGTAAAGAAAAAAAACATTACTCTTTATACTATAAATTTAAACTATTTTATGATGAAATTTTCATTTTAAAATTTGATTTCAAAAAAGAAAAACACAGTCTACGACATGCTCATTAAGTGCGATTATATGAATAAGTAAAGTAGGATTAGATTGAACAGGAGTGTCTAAAGTGTAGCTGGTTCCATTAATGTAGCCATCACCTTTGTAACTAGGTGGAGAAGAATGGTTGTAAACACTAAGGAAATTGTGGCACTGTGCATGAGTAGGGATATCACAAGTATTGGGCACATGATCATTATGCTCGTTAACATCTAAAAGTACAATTCATGGGATTAGTAAAGTGTTAATCATGTAGAAAGGAAACGATAGAGTATAGCAAAGTAGAGTCAGAATTATCTTGACATCCATCCGAAAGAATGTATGAATTTCATATGAAAGCCAGGCTTATAAAAGCATATTGAATCCAAAATCCATGGTGGAGTTTTGATAGAAGGTGTTGGAGGAGCATACATAATTAGGAGCTTCTTGATAAGTACCTTTATCAGCAGTAAGCCGACCTAGCATAAGCATGACATGTTGAAGCAGAAACTCTCCTGATAATCAAGAGAGAAATGAAAGGAGCCTTGTTTAGCAACAAAATCATCATCACAATTGTTGAAGTCCCACATGTTTTGATGGCAATTGAAGCTATATGATTGTAAAAGTGATGTTCCTTAATCAAGGAGGAAATCAACTTAGCAACACCTAATTCCAAAGCAAGTTTCACCAGCGTCCTGTTCTAGTGTAGGGAGCTAGTTACATTCGACAAGCAGCTAGTGGAATACTTCTGTCTATCCTGGAAATTGTTCAAGTGGCCATAACTATCACAACTTATCCTCACAAACTTGTCTATAGAGATAGAAATAAGGAAAGCAATGATTGTGAGAGAGGAAATAGAGAGGTTAAGATTGACTTATCTCGATTGATCGTAACAAATTTGGGAGATATACATGGAGATGTTCATGTGACTATCGAGGGATATGTTGAGGACTTGGATGTGTGAGGAGTCGTATTACAATGTGGAGTGGTTATAGGTGAGATTGAAGTATTAAAGTATTGATTCACAGAGCAGTTATCTCCAATGCCTAATAGATATGGAATATCCACGTGCGA